GAAAAAAAAAAAAAAGATGTGAACAGCCAAATAAGCAAATAAGTAAAAATACTCTGAATTGTGAGCAATAATTCAAATTTATGCACCAGCACCTGCAGTGAATGCAGTTTAATTGATGTAGTGAAACAAAGCATCATAGTATCACCATGTCACCCTAACCAATTCTACTCAGGTTTTTATTTTTGAATTAGAAAAAACGCATATGAAAGTCTTGTGGAAAACAGTGGTGAAACAGTGGTCTTTCGGGATTTAATATCACAGCTGCAGCACTCTATTGAGGATTAATACCTCAAAAATCTGAAGAAAGAAGAAAAAATGTCCTTAAAATGTCCTTAAGCATGTCTTTTTTATTACAAAACACTTTCGTTAGTAAGCTTTAGCATTTCAAAAATTCATATGCTGTAACTGATTGCGTAATGGCATCTGAGATGTTCCTGAATTCTGTTTCAGATACAAATTGTTAATATGGCTGATATCAAAACAAATTTAGCAAAGTTTTTGGTCGAGGTTTGAAAAAATAAAAACACTTTGTAACACTGCATGAAAAACACAATTCTATGCCTATATTTGAGCATATTATGTTTTATAATGAATTCATCCAGCAGCTGTTGCAATTTCCATGAAGTTGTGTGGCTTATCACAGAATTCAGATGCAAACAGAATGAAAAGAAAAAAAGACAAAACGGAAAGGTTCGGGAACACTTTATAATAAATACACACTATGAACCATTTATTAAGCATTAGCAAATAGTGAACTCATTATCTGCTAAGCATTAACTTTACATTAATAAGCGTTAGTAAGCAGTTTATAACTGCAGCTACAAATGCTCTATTCTTGACTTATAACCACATGCATAATGTGCTTAATAATTGAGTCTCCATACTTTGTTAAGAATTCATTTTTCATTAGTAAATTAAATAATGCATTATTTACAAACTAGTTATTTAAGCATAGTTGGATGTTTGTTTGTTTTTTAAGATCATTCAGAATGCGTAAGTAAATGATTAATAAACTATTTAATTTAACATTTATATATCTTATTATTCAGGCATATATTAATAGCTAATTTGTATGTTATTAACCACTTTGTTAACTTAGTTTCATCCAGGTTTGTGACCTAATCTAAAGTGAGGACTATGTATGCTTTATAAATCCCTTACAAATGACAAATAAAGGCTCAGCTTTATTCTAAACTAAAAACTGAAAATAAACGACTGTTGTCATTTCTATCCATTTGAAGATACACAAATGAAACTGTATCAAATGAAAAATAAATAAGTGCAACCTTATCTAAAGTAACATTACTGTACAATTTAAAAATCGCTAAATAACATTGAAATGTTGCATCACAAGTATATTGTTAAATTATTATATTGTTATTGCTGTTATTTAATCTAAATATGTTGTATTTTGATACTTGTTATTCAGCAATGTTTAAACTTTACAGTAATTTTACTTTTTTTAGATAGGATCGCAAAAATGTATTTTTCATTTGTTACGGAGTCTTTAATTGTCATTTATAAGGGATTTATAAAGCAAAAATAGTCCTCACTTTAGATTGGGTCGCAAAACTGCATGAAGTTAACATTTTTTAACATACATAGTAACCATTACTATATGCCTGAATAATAAGATAAACCTATATTTTAATAGTTTATTAATAATTTACTAACTCATTCTGAATGATCCTAAAAAAACATCAACTACTCTTAATTAGAAATGGGTTGTAAATAATGTGATACTTCATTTAGTAGAAGGATCAATCAGTCACAAATCATGAAAACATCATTTTTAAGCACATTGGAAATCTGCTTAAGTCAAGAATAGAGCATTTGTAGCTGCAGTTATAAACTGCTTACTAACGTCTATTAATGTAGAGTTAGTGCTCACCAAGTAATGAATTAACAAGATGCCAATGCTTAATAAATGACTCATAGTGTGTAGTTATTATAAAGTGTTACCTTGTTACCTAATCTTTGAAAACTGATGCTGCTGGGTTAACCCAGAATGCTGCAGACTCCCAAAAAACCATAGCAAACGCAGAACAACAACATAAACTTTTAAAAACTCAGATTGCCTTGATTAGTCAACAAACAACTGCTGACAAAAAACAAAACAAAAAAAGCTTTGAAAAAATCAGCATCTGTTGTCACAAACAGTCACATTAGACACAATAATATAGGCTCCATTTTAAGCATTAACTTCTGTGTCAGCCTTGTGTGTAAATCTATTACATATTTCTATATATATAAAAAAAAAAACACTATGTGTTGATTTAGGCTAACAAATGCAAAAGCATGCTTGTACCAACCTTAAAATGATTGGCATGCATTCAAATTGACATTTCTTTCAACTTAGAACAAAAACCACCATGTATATTTTTGTATAAGACACAATGATTGAGGTGGACGACTCTAAACACAAACATCTTTTCTTGCTCCATTTGATGCTCCGATTCGATTGTTTATAATCCAGACATGGATGATGACGTCCTTTAGTTAAAACAGAACTTCAGTTTGATGAGTTCAACATATAAACAGGCCTTTTCTCAAGTCCTGAAAGTGTTGCTAGAATGCTGTGTATAGTGAGTTTTTTTTCTTGTGTGTAAAACAGTATTTAGAAGTATTAACTAGTAATTCTTAACTAGCATTTAGTTTTGTAAAGCAACAGCATCTCTCCTTGAAAGTGTCCATGTCCATTTAGGGTCTGTGAATGTAGGAATGCATGTACAGTAATCTTTGCCTTCAATAGAGAACTGTGAGAAACGCTGCTCATATTCACACAAGCGCAAGTCCATTTCTGTTACCCATGAGACTAAGGTTCTCTAAAGTACAGCTTTTATGTTGATTTTGAGGGGTCATGTGATGTTTAGCTGCAAGAACTGATTATTTCAGGCATCAAATACCAAAAGAAAAGAGAAAAAAAAAAAGGATGGTTTTGATGGACGGTTTACGTGTGCAGTGATGATCCTCTTTGCTCAATGATTACTTGTAAATGTACACATTATGTATGGCATACAGATATTTATACACGTGCTGTATTTACCGGTTACAAACCATATTCCTAATACCACATGTAAATGTATTTTGTTTTTGCACTCAGTATCTTAGTGCACACTCATTTTATTAGTATTCCGATGATGTAAATTTATGTTGTTTTGTTTTTCTTGGCAGCAGTGGAAAGATGGCTCCTGTATTTGACATTACCAGCAGACCTTACATGCTTCTTGTTCATATTATGAATTGTAAATTTAGCTGTTGCAAATACAAGACGTCTGCAATATTGTTTTACAATGCATACTAATATATTATGGTTATTATAAGAAAATATTTAATGACACAAGACATTGTGGGGTTTTTTATGTCTTTTATTTTTCTTTCTTTTTTTTCTTTTCTTTTTACAGCAGTTTGTGGTTGTTTAGATGGTTGTGATTAAAATCCAGACGGGACGATAACTACTGAACACCAACCTGGTAGAACTACATTCAGTATTCATTTGGAATAAAATCTCAAAAAATGATTAATGCACCTTCATTTGTTCCCCTGTATAAGTAAGGATATATGCATTTAGTTAGAGATTCGAGGTTCACAGTTAAAAATCCTGGGTTCCACACAATTCCTTCATGTCGTTCTAACACAAATTAAGTTACGTTAATCCTTTAAAAAAATTAAGTGGATTGAACATAAAACAGTTGTGCCCTTGTGTTGTTTCCACTCATTTTAAATAAGTAGTTTGAACACTTGAAAAAAGAACACTCATTTTTTGAGGGTTTGTTTATTTTGGTGTGTTATTAGAAAAAAATGCGCAAAAAATGGTTGGGTAGCACTCTAGTTTGATGGTCCATTTGAGTATTAGTGGACTGTCTGCTTGATATACGTTGATACTGCTCGTTCAAAAGACATTTATCTGACTATAAAAAAGTAACATGCAAGTAACTTAGACTATTCCTAACCCTAAAGTTGGATTTTTACTTCCGCCTGAGGCTGCATCGTGCACCTCACGAAACGGATGAGGCTTTTATACTTGATGCGTTCGCCGTTGTGATGTTCTTTAAAAAGACAGGGCTCAGTCAAATAAAAAACCGACCATAATATCAGACGGATTAGCATAGAAGAAGGAAGTTTCTGAACTACGTCATATCAATAATATCGTTCAAGATTTTTAAACTTAGTTTTTTTAAATATTTATGACAACAGAACATGGGTTGCTCTACAAATATATATATTTTTTTTTATTATAGAAAGAATGAACCATTATCACCAATAAAGCCAAGAAAAACAGGGCATCAGTATATTGTTAACTGATAGGTTTAAATATTCTTTTTCAGTAATTAAAAAATGATTTGTTCCTTAATTATAATTTTGTATCTATTAAATTATTTTAAATTCAAAATGAATGGTGAAAAAGCAGATTTCCGTAAGTAAATAATCTGTTTTGGCTTTAACAAACTTATCATTTAAGTTTATCAAATTTTTTCCAAAAACGTTCCTCCTTTCCCAATGCTGTTGCGATTTCTAGCCAAGAATTGCTGACCATCTAGTTATCCCTATGATCACACATGGATGGATAATAAAGATGTCTGCATAGTCGTGCCTGTCTCAAACAAAATGTCTTGAAAATAATTCATTATTGAACTCAAATCAAAATGTTCGATCGAATCTCAAAAAAAATCAGATGCTCCACCAGCCGAAATCATGCCACGCACAGCCAAAGCGAAACTCCGCAAACACTGTGATGACATCACATTCACCATGCACACTCAAGCGAACTACCGGACGCAGAGTATAAACCAGGCTTAACCCCAACCTAACAGTCTACTTATAATCTAATGAGAATTAGTTGGCATGTAGATACAATGTAACTTAAATTCAACAAACAAACCATCAAAATAAAATGTGACCAATATTTGTAAAAAAAGATATAATAATAAATAATAATAATAATAATAATAGATGATTGTTATTACAATTTTAAGATTTTACAAAAACCAAACCACCTGTTTGATACCATTACATTTATTAGAATTTTATAACGGACATATTTTGAAAACATTATTTTTTACCAAACAAGTTTTTTTTTTCTCTCTCTCTTAATGCAGTTGAATGGATTAGGAAAAAGAGGATGAGAGCTTTTCTATTTATCCCAACAGTAGAGCTCAAAACTCGGTATTGCTTTGTGACTCAGTCCCTGTTTACACGATGGATACGGATCATTTTCTTCACTGCCAAACAAAGAATTTAAATAGTTTCCCCCCTTGGAGCATCTTGGGCTCATGGTTTTATTCATAATAATATTCAAAACCTTTCAAAGCTCTTTTCTATTTTTCTTTCCATTCCGAATCCTACTTTGATCGTTATCTGTGGAGCTAAGAATTCAGTTCTTCATAGTGGTCCATTTCTTGGCTTTAACCCAGTTATGTGTTCCATTACTTTAAGAGAAAAAAGAGAGCTGTGTGCAGAGATGTGATTACATGTCCAGTCTGTTCGGATACTGCGTGAATCCATCACTCACCACTATATACAGACAGAAAGTCTCTATAGTTCATATCTGTGGCATCTTCATCTTCTTCATTACTGCCAACAGGCCACAACAATGATGGCGATGAGAAGAAGAACAATCACCACCATCATGCCTGAAATCAAACACACACACAAAACATCTTAATGAATAAAGGACACTCTTTTCCTTTCCATATGCACCAGACACTTTCTTCTAAACCAGGGGACTCAAATTGGTGGGGGGCCATTTCAGTGACTGACAATTCATAGCAGGGCTGTTTTACCTTTCAAGCACAAGAAAAAAGTGGAAACCTGACATAAGTGATGTATCTTAAGATAACAGACATGACATTTATATTTCAAGCATTACCTGTCATCAGTGATGATGCAAATCAGCATGTTTATCGAGCCACACAACTGCTGAAATATATCTGTGGGTGTGTGTACGGTCGAGCGAGCGATAAACACACTCAGTCATTCTTCCACAAACTATATGCAGTAAAAACTAGCTTTTTGTTTCTTGATGTGCATATTGAAGAGGTAGTTTAAATCACTATGAAAATACTACAAATAATAGGCATAATTATTATTATTCTGTCCCAATCAATTGTATTGTGCAATAGTGCAAGAACAGCAGAAAGCAGTTTGGGTAACTTTATTGGGTTTACTGGCAATTGGTCTTCTCAATATATTTCTCTTCTGTAAAACTACAGCAAAGAGGGGGAAAGTATGCACATATTCACATTTACTTTAACAAGTTCAATTCAACTAGCATTACAATTTCACTAATGTACAAAGTTTTTATGCAAACCTTAATAAGAATATAAGAAAAATCTATTAAATGAGACCATTTGACTGGAATAATAGCAAAATTATCATATTTGTTACACCACCGGCATAACATGTTAGCCATGAAGAAGTGTTTGTACAACAAAAAACAAGTGGTATAAAACTGATGCTAATCAAACAACCCCTGAATATTTACAAAAAAAAGAAAGAGCTTTAGTAAAAATAGAGCACTTATGGACATATATTTTAATGTTTAAATCAGCTACAAAAATTTAAATCATGAGTGTTACTTTCGACCGTATACTCTGAGAAAATGAAAGTAAAACTAATCAGAATGCAGAACTATAAATGTAGACTAGATTATGGGCTAGATGGAACTGCACAACAATAGTGGTTCTAAAATATATGTTTTGGCGGGCCGAACTGCACTATATTTTTGACATCCTTTGCAGGCCGGAGGAATGAGGAGGGTGGGCTGTAAATTGCCTGCGGGGGGGGGGGGGGGGCAGTTTGAGACCCCTGTTCCAAACGGTCTATGTTTCTCGGAAAACACTGCACAATTCTGAGTGTGTTTCACACAGGTGAGTGGGTTTAATAAACCACCAGTAGGAACCACCTGTACTTTTTTAATTTCTGTGTGCATGTGTATATACAATAAAAAAAATTCTTCTCTCTTAGAATTTTCCTCCTATTTCTAGTTTAAATATTAAAGAATTCTTAAATTGTGAAGCATTTTCTAGAAAAGCAAAACACAATATCCTGGTTTAAGAAATAATTTACCAAAATCAAGTGAGTTATTCCAAAAACATGCAAAATAATCTGCCAGTGACCTTAAAATGGTGTTTAAAAATGAAAAAAAAAAAAAAAACTGCTTTTATTCTAGTCAAAATAAAGCAAATAAGACTTTCTTTAGAAGAAAAAAAAAATCTGACACAATAAAACATTCCTTGCTGGGTTAAACGTGATTTAGGAAATATTTAAAAAGAAAAACAATTCAAAGGGGGGCTAATAATTCTGACTTTAAGTGTAAGGTCAGTAAATACTCTAAGATATATTATAACCAGTCTTTACAAAACATGAAATATATTATGCCTATGGAGATTCCTTGTAAACTATGTATACAAGTGCATATGTGTGTATTGTTTTGTCCTTATATGCAAGACATTTTGGATAAAAGCGTCTGTAAATCAAAAAATATAAATGTAAACTAATAACCTCTTGCTCTTTTAGAGAATATTTAAGCATGTGCTCATAAAAAAATCATCATTTGCCCTATAAAGACTTCACTATTTTTATCTTCTCCAAATTTCAACTTTATTAAAAAACTTGATTAAAGGATTAATGCAATTGTATGGCTTTTCTTTCATTGGTTATTTGCATTTTTCATTGATCACTCATTAAAATAAACATGATGATGATGACTCTTCGATCGGGCTATTAGGCGTGTGTATAATTTAAACTCAAGATCAACACAAACTGAGGGGGAGAATGACAAACAAAATGTGGTGAGGCTTTCAGCGAAGCATCTGTCTTTCATTAATTCTTGCGATAGTCGAATGTCTCATATAATGTGTGTCACTTGAGGAATTCCAGGAAGGTGTTGGAGAGGATTTCTCATCTCCTGTGAGTCACTGACAGCGGATAGAACAGTCGTACATGTGTTGTAGATCTGCCCTTACAAAAAGCGATACATCCCACTCCAAATTCTCATTAAATTACTTGTTTGAAGTTGTAAAATTCCATGAAATCCTCAACTGTGACTAAACATTGAACATAAATGTACTGAAATTGAAGGCTGGATTATTCAAATTGTTATAAAAAATATTAATAGCTTTCATTTGAACCCTTTTTGTTTATTGTCATTGGTTTATTTTTCTTTATGAAGCCCTAAAACAGTGGTTTGACTTTCTATAATATAAAGGGGCAAACTTACCAAATGGTAAACAAATTTTAATTGTCATTAAAGTTCATTCATGGCACTTCTATATCTGTAAGGTTGTAATATATGTAATTTTGTTGTTTTTCTTCTTCAGTTTTGGATGAGCCTGTTATAACACACATGAGGTATGTATATTTGGTAAAGTATTGTTTTCCATTATTATATGTAGTGTAATAATAATACTATTGTAAGTATTAAAATAACACAAAATGAGCTATACTGTATCTACTATATTAAAAATGGGTAGTAACTGTACAGCATTAATTCTAAAGCAATTTAAAAAAAAAAAGTTTGACATTTACTGCAGCATTAACTAAAATGGACTAAGCATTGTGGTTACAGTATGAATTAATCTTTGTATAATAATTCATCCATTTTCCTTCAGCTTAGTCTTTGATTATCAGGGGTCGTCACAGAGGAATGAACTGCCAACTGTTCTGTTCTACGCGGCCGATGCCCTTCCAGCTGCAAGCCAGTACTGGGAAACACCAATATACTCGCATTCACACACCCACACTCAAACACTATGACCCACTTTGTTTACCCAGTTCACTTATATGCTTTTGGACTGTGGGGGAAACCGGAGTACCTGGAGAAAACCCACATAAACAAAGGGAGAACATGCAAACTCCACACAAAAACACAAACAGGCCCTGCTGGGTCTCGAATTAGCAACCTACTTGCTGTAAGGCATGTTGGAGCAACAGTGCTAACCACTGAGCCACCATGCCATCCTTGTATGATAACGTTAATAAATAAAAATACAAATGTTCATTGTTAGTTTGCTTTAGGTCAAGATAATTAAAAATTATATAAAAATGTACAGCTTTTGATTTTAAAACTGCATTAGTAAATATTGTAAATTGAAAAAGTACAAATATTAGCATTGCTATGCTTTATTTTTCACTGTTTCCTGCTTAATAATATTAAATACCATAACAGGGGCGACGCAGTGGCACAGTAGGTAGTGCTGTCGCCTCACAGCAAGAAGGTCGCCAGTTCGAGCCTCGGCTAGGTCAATTTACGTTCCTGTATGGAGTTTGCATGTTCTCCCTGCATTCGCGTGGGTTTCCTCCGGGTGCTCCAGTTTCCCCCATAGTCCGAAGACATGCGGTACAGGTGAATTGGGTAGGCTAAATGGTCCATAATGAATGGGTGTGTGTGTGTGTGGATGATTCCCAAAGATGGGTTGCGGCTAGAAGGGCATCCGCTGCGTAAAAACGTGCTGGATAAGTTGGCGGTTAATTTTGCTGTAGCAACCCAGGATTAATAAAGGGACAAAGCAGAAAATAAAATAAATGAATGAATATTAGCAAAAAATACAAATAGTTGCTGAATGGATGGCAAATACTAAATGGTTACCACTACATAAGGTTTACATATACTACATCTTAAAAAATAAATCTTTTTGAACTAGAAATTAAAATATGTCTTGCATGATCTTAAATAAACGAAAATTGTTTATTAATGATTTTAAATTTGACTGAAATGTGAATGATCAATCTAAAAAAGTACATATTTTAAATTATTTAGATCTTATATAATGGTAAATAAAATGACTGATTTCAGGACATTCTACCTTTGCTATTGTTTTTTTCTGGTATGATGTCAAATTAAAATGTGATTGAAATAAATGATATGAATAAATCTGGGAAAAAAAAGTAAAACATACAGAATAAATAAATTGACTTATTTCAGGACATTCTACTTTTTTAATATTTTCTGCTTCTAACTATTTACAACAAATTATTTTGATGAAACACTTTGGAAATCCTTGTCCTATTTGATTATTTTTAATTCACATTTTCTTACAATGCTTTTCCTGAGCATATCTAAATTCATAATTTCCTTGCCATCATCTGTCATGTCATTTAAAGACATGCTTATCTCTGCTAATCAGACAGGATTTTTGACATAATCACTGTTGGTCATGGACACTGGCTGGTACTGTATTCGTAGCCTGATTCGGTGCTTTAGTTTACATTTCTCTCATAGTTTGGCTCAGTGGCTTTGTGTTCCCACTGGAGATCACAGCGCCAGCTGGCCTGCACTGAATGCACAGGGTAAAAGGAAACTACATTTCGCTGGTATTATGAAATACAGACCAACTAAAGCCTGCTGTGGTCCGGGCGTGTGTTAGGAAACAACACCACACAGTTGGCAAATGCCCAGTTTTGACTGTGACCAGGAACAATGTCAGATTTTTACTGAACAGACCTCCATCCCACTGGAAAATACCTGATTTATTTAACAGAAAACTGGCATGACAAAAGATACATCAAAAGGAAAAATATGGTCCCTCAATTTCCACCAAGTCGGTTAACCTGTAAAATACTGTTTTACATGTTCTTAAAAAAATAAATAAATAAATAAAAATAAAAAAACAGTTCTAATTTTTCCAGTTTC